TTGATTTATTTTATTACGCCTTTGTTTACTAGTCTATATAGGGTGTTTCAGGGTTAAGTAGTCAAACCGAAAATATGAATTAAGGACCTCAATACAAGAAATAAATTTTCCTCTGAAGGTATATCCGCAAACGCTTTGTTTAAAAGATATTCACACCTAAAGATTTTCGTTGTTATGAATTATTTACGTTATATTAAGTAAATAAAACTTACTTATTTGTTCCAAATACATTATTAATTAAACGTAAACATTAAATTAATATTAAATGTTGTTCAAACTGATTTCCTTAAGCATTAAGACAGGCTCGGCGTCTTTCTACAGCAGCAGTGCAGAACGGCACTGGATATGTATTATTGTTTTTCAACATTCAATTATCCTTCTTCATAAGGAATTAAGGTTATTGACCGGACTTGCATAGACTTTTTGTTTAAAGTCACACCATATCGGCATAATCACCATTAGTATAAATGGATAATGATGAGTACTCTGCGAAAGCCTCTTACAAACTGATAAATGTCATTGAGAGTTCCCAATGCTAATTCTAAATAGTATTAATACTTATGTTGCCAATAGTTTTTATACAGTTAGGGATAAAAGGCCATATTAGTATTCTGTCTAATTCATCTCCTTAACAAAGCGTTTGCGGACATACTTTGAACAACATTTAATATGAATGTTAATGTTTACATTTGATTAATAAAGTAGTTACATAGGTTTTACCTTTTGTTTTCAGAAAATTATTATTCCTTTTTAAGAGAGAAAAAAAACTCGTTCTGGAGCTTAGATTCACTTCAAGCCTTTCCATTACTAAGAAAATTCGATTAAAATATCTTTCAATTTTTTCTTAAATTTAAGAATTAATACTAATTTAATTTTTTTTAATGACCTCCACCGCGGTCATTTTGCTATGGCCGTTGAGTATTCAATAGTTTATATTGCATTTCTTTCTGTTAATTTTAAAAATTTTAATTAATAATAAAATTAAACTGAAGACTTTAGTTCTTAACTCAAAACTTCAAAATAGAAAACTAGAAAGAATTTTAAAAAGTCTTGATGATTGAAACTTTCAATTGGATATAGTGTGAAACGCATTGAAAATAAAAAGAATTAGTATGATAGGATTTAATTAACTTTCGATAATAAATATCAAGCAATGAATTTCAATATGATTCAATTACTTTAAATTAAAATTACTGTAGTTAGTATATGGCATATTTAAGAAATAATACTATTAATCAATGAAGTCTATAACTTGAGAAAATAAATCAACTTGTGAAGTTTGACCTCTTTGGCCAAGACTCCTCAATTTTAAAACTAAAAGAGTGTCAGTCTGGTTGTTGACTCTGTTCCAGTCAATTTAATTCTTGAAAGTTTATTAACTGAATGATATAAAGTTCTTTTTTACTTTTGGATTACAATTAGTTTTTATAAGATTTGTGACATTTAGAATACGCTTTATTTAAAAAAAAATAATAATATTGGTCTTTTCTGGTTTACTGTTATCTGTGTGAGTATTTACTGTTATCATATTGAGTATTGGTGATGTGATAGAAGATTTAAATATATTAGGTCCTATGGCAATTTCCTTATTATTTTTAAATAAGGATGGAATTTATTTTTGAGTTTATACTTCTCCTGACTATTTTTCATCATTACAATTATAACAGTTAACTATAAATATATCTAAATTATTTTTAAAATAAGTTAAAATTTGTGGAAGTTACAGGACGTAAAGCTGTCAATATAGAGTAATTGCTGTACTAAAAATTCAAAATAAGTGTTGAAATTAATGATTTCTGTTAAATAATATCCTGTTCATTGTGAAATCATGTTTTGTATAAGTCACCATTCATTAATGGTCAATCAATTCTTAGTTAATTGTTCTATGGATTACAAATATAGATAAATATGCATATGTAGATAGGTTATAAATCACATTTTCATTGTATATTTTGTTTGTTTTTTCAGGTCTATGTAATTCTGGTTTAATAAAAATGTCTGATGAAACTAAGTCTTCATGTAAGTTATTCTTTTTTAAAACCTTTTGAATCTTAGGTACTAAGTTCTGTAGAATCCTTTTGATATTTACTGCTTCTTGAAGTTTTATCTTAAAATTGCATGCCAGAATATAAAATATTTACTACTTCAATCTATTTTTGGTATTAGTTCCCTTTCACAATTCCAAGGTGGCTATAGTTTCATTATCACTCATGTTACACTACTCCCAGATTCCTAATGAATATCAAAAGTAGCCACATATTGACAATTCTGTTTACATCCTGATGCCTGGACTTACAGGAGTTGTTTAAGTCAGATTATTACCCGACTAAACGAAGTGACATGGTATTTTGAGCAAACGCCTGAATTGATTTTTTAGTTTAATAGCTCATATAATTCTGTGACAATCCCTGAGTGTTTTAAAACAATTTTTGCTAAAAATACTGAACCACGGTTAAATAAAATGTTTTAAATCAAATTGCTACAAGTTTTGTAACGCTGTTTTGTGGAAATGGCTTGATCAATTTTTAAGTTAAATGGCTCGAATTATTCGATGAGATTGCCTCAGTATTTTGAAACAATATGTACTAAAATTACTGAACCGTGATTAAATAAAATGTGTTTAATAAATTTTTAACACTTTTTTGAGCAATTGGTTAGATCAATTTTTAAGTTTGGTACGTTAAATTATTCGGTGAGATTTCCTTACAGTTTGGAAGGTGAAGCGACATGATTGTCAAGTGTTTGGATTGTTCGCTAAAAGGTTTGTAACTATTTTTCTAGCTTTTTTAATAAAATTGATCTAGCTTTTTTTAACTTTGATGGCTCAAAATATTAATTGAGATTCTGTGAGTGTTTTAAAACAATTGGAGCTCAAAACACTGATTTGTTATTGAATAAATTGAGTTTAATTAATTTGCTACAAGGTATGTTACGATTTTTCAAGTGTGCAGCAGGAGGATTTTTTAAGTTTGATGTCTAAATTATTCTGTGAGATCCTATGAGTGTTTTGAAAGAGTATTTAAAAGTGAACATAAGTTATTTATATTATTTATAACTTAGTAATTATAAGTATTTAATCAATTCACTAAAAGGTAAGTAATTATCATTTGAGTGGATGGCATGTGCGATTTTTAACTTTGACGGCTGTAATGCTCTTTGAGGTCCCATGAATGTTTTGAAACAATAAAAAAAACTAGTTGGCCCGTGCGAATAATTCGCAGAAAATTTTGTTTAGTGAAGATATAGCAAAATAGTATGGAAATAAATAGTTCGTATTTATTATGTAAGGAAGGAGGAAGGAATTAATAGTCTTTCCTTGGTTGATTACTATATTCCATTAAACATAATAGACAAAAATATTTGTACAAATTATTTTGCTAAAACCTATTTTTAAACACTGACTAGAAAGATAATAAAAGTAATAAAAATAAAATAATGCCCCAATCATGGGATTTTCTAAATTATAAAAAAAAAATAAAATGTAAGAACAACCAAATGTCTTTAAGAAATAATAAAGTTAATATATCAGCCAGGAAAAAAGTGTAGTAGACTATTCTACTCCTAAATGCAATATCTTTAAACAGGAAGACATTATTAAGTATACCAAATCTAATGCTGTATCTTTGTTAATAATTGTCCGATTTTTACGAATTTTTTTTTTGTTTTGTAGGTAATTTAGTAATCTTTCTAATTATCATGTGTACTATCAATAAAAATGCATACCTTTTGAGTTATTTGCAAATAAAGTTTCTTTTCCTTCATAACTTTTTTTCCAAAAATTTCGGGGGATAGGACTATTTTTCGCATGTGAAGGAGAAGAATATCTTCAAAATGAGTGGTCAATTATTGGATTTGGCGAAGAATTGATGAAGTTATGGTGTAGTGACAAAAAAACACCTTTTAGAAATAATATATAGGAAGTTTCTTATAGTATCTTGATTATTAATTGATTTGAAATGATATCATGTGATCATATGTTATGAAAATACATTTTTAATATTATAAAAACTAAAAATGATAAAATAAAAAAATATTTTAGTTAATAAAAAAAAAATACAGAAATTTGGGAATCCCATTCAACCCAAGGGAATGTACTTACTTATCTATCTAAACATCTTGATAGATTGATAGAGAAATTGACATCTTAAAATATTTAAGCTTGTTGTAGCAGTTGGGTGCCCAACATATTCCGGAAGAAACCCAAGACTTGGATATTTATATAATAATAATAAAAGGCTTAGCGAACCCGAAGGTTCGATGCCGACACCACCAATCGCTTATTACACACCTCCCTCCACTGTTCATCGTCCAAACCCAGTCCCTTCAGATCGGCTTTAATGCAATCTTCCCACCTTCGCTTCGGTCTACCCCTTGGACGCTTTCCATTCGGCACAGCAAATATTAACCTTTTAGAAATTCTCTCGTTACTAAGCCCAACAACTTTACAAGCCCATTTGATTCGCCGCGATGAAATTACCTCAATTATATTACCCGGATACAGTTCACGCAATTCGGCGTTGTGTAACCGTCTGAACTCTCCGGTTAACTCATCCTTCTTCGGTCCGAATATTGTACGCAATACTTTATTTTCAAAAACCTTAAGACGCTGCTCATCCCTTAATGTAAGCGGCCAAGTTTCGCATCCATAAAGAACTGTAGGCAAGATAATTGTTTTATAGATTCTAATTTTTAAGTTCCGGGATATTTATATACATCGATAAATAGAATAAAATCTATTTGCCTGGAGCCAAAATGTGTAGTAACAGGCACCCGAATATTACACCAAGTTTAAATATTCTAAGATGTCAATTTCCTTATAAGTCTATCAAGATGTTTAAGTAGATATGGAAGTACATTCCGTTAGGATGGATAGAATTTTCCGATTTCTGTAATTTGTAATTTTTTAAAAATTAAAATATATTTTTTTATCCATGCAAAGATTACTTATCAAGTTTGTGGCCTGATTTTTATTTTTATTTTGATTTTCTTACTTGTTGGTAGGTGGGCCTATCCATGTGAAACAAGAACCGCTTGATCCGGATGAAGGTGAGAACTATTTATATTATTATTATTTTATCAGACATTCTGTCGTTTAAGGATTGTTCATTGTTAACATTTATTGCCTTATTTGTCTGAATGTAGGATGTGTTTTTCTGAAAATGGCTTCTGTAAAATGAATGTTTGACCTAATATATCCCTAAATTTCCAAATTGATACCAAGTCATTTTTGTGTAGTGTTTGTTATAAAGGGTGAAGGCATTAGGTGTGATTGTTTATTTAACATTAACATATTCTTTTACTCGTACGAGTCTTATGACGTCTGCAGTAACTCATGCGGCATTTTTACTCCAGCTGTACCTCTGCGTACCACTTTAGGCAATCAATCGCCCAGGCTCGATATAACAAAATATCGATTCGGGTTAAAGAAAGATGATTTAAAAAAACACTTATTCTAAAAAATATCAGTTTTGTCTCTAATGATAAAATGTGCAGTTTTACCTTGCAGAAAAAACAATTGATTGGGTCCCAGCTGTATTGAACTATTTTTGCTGAAATTGCAACTCTTTTAGTTTTTTGTTATTTTGGCAAGCATAATTTATTTTGTATTGCTTAGTTTGTAGTAGTCTTTTTTTCTGTAATTTTAGTGCTCAAAAGTTTTCTATTTTTCCCCATAGTTAAAGATGTACATTTCTATTGTTATTGGAGTATTTATTGAGTGAACTTGCCAGAATTTCTTAAACCATCTAATATCCGACATGCCTTTTTTATGTCATCATACAAATATCTCCTTTTCCAATACCTTCTTACATCCCAAACAGATGTTCTAAAATCGTGAAAATAGATTTTATGAATGAAATTTTGTCATAACTAATAGTAGTTCCTTCTGTTTAATTTTTAACATAAAAAATCAATGTTTTTTTCATTATTTACTTTTTCTTTTCTTCAAGTTTGCTTTCTATTTTTTTGTATGTATATATATATATTTATATTTGTTTTTCATTACAATTATATTTATTTTTGAGAAGATTTTATTTTTAGTTGTTTATGTATTATAGTTAAAGTTACTGTATATATTAGAATTTTTGGCTAGATATTTGTTGTTGTTTTTTATTTGTTCATTATTATTATTCTTAAGGGACTTTGTACTAAAATGAAGTTTAATTTTATCTAATGCAAGAATTCTCGTAGTAATATACTAGTTATGCTTTTTATTATTATTATAAAATACATTTAAAGTAAATATTTCTATTCAGAGATGACAAGGTGTGAGAAAAAAAATAAAGATATTTCATAAATGGAAGGACAAGTAGCAATTTTACAATTTTTAGCCTTGGTTTGAAAATGTCCTAACTGAATTTTTTATGTTTAATGAATAAGTTGAATAACAACATATGTTTAATAAATAAGTTGAATAACAACATATGTTTAATTATGATAACATATGTTTAATCCAAAAATGTAATAGAAATATCCATCATTCACCGTGCACCCTGTTTTGCATCATGCTATTGTTTTTTTTAAATTTCCTTATGTCCTAAATCGGTCAATAAAAAGAATACAAACTACGTAAATTTGAGGTTTTTTGTTTCATGGATGGTACGTAGAATTAAAAAGCCAATTAAATAAAGATATTTGGTACTGTTTTTTTTTTTTTAATTAATTTATTAAATCATTTTATCCTTTCCTTAAAATTATTTATTAATCAATGCACTACTTTTAACTTATTACCCGTGTGGTTAAAATTAAAGATACAATTTGAAAAAACACAGAAATATGTTTTTTTGCAAAAATAACACCAAAGTATAAGTAAAAAAAAAAAATTTAATCATCTAATAATATATGCAGTAGTATAAACTGATATAAATAATGTGAGATTTTTTTGTTTACAATATATATTTTATTTTTTATCTTCTCATATTTTAGTATAATATAGATGTTTGCATTTTTTCTCAAAATTTTGGAAATATCACATACGTCATTCTGAAATAATCGATTAAAATATATAATATGCATAGAACAGATCTTTACTATTAATATACATGATATAATTTCATATTTAACTCAGGTGAAAATAACTATAAATCAATTACCATGTAGCCTCTTACAGTTAGAACCTTCTTAAACCAATTACTTTCAAAAGTTGTTTGTTGTTAGAACTATGTCGCACTGCTTGTTTCTTTATTTTTCAACTGAGATTCATTTGGAACATGGAGAACTTTGTTGTGATTGATTTCTGAGTGAAAACTCAATTTTTCCCGTCTTTTTAAACCGAGGCCACGAATTTTTGATTATGTAATAAAATATTTTCTTTAATTGTGTTGTTTAAAATATTGTTTTTACATTTTTTACACACATTTTACAGATGAGCTTATTAATGTGAAACAAGAAAGAGAGCTGCTTATCCCAGATGAAGGTGAGAAAATCTTATATATTATTTCTAAATATATATCCCTTTTCCAGTTCTCAGGAGTGATGGATTTTGACGAATGACGTATCAATAGAAAGGGAATATCTTGTAGAATGCACAAATCATAATTTTTATTCCTAATTTCACACAAGGACTTAAATAAAAGTGAATGTATAAGCGGGAGGTTTCAAACCTGATGGTGCCATCTCAACGAATCGAGACGTTACAAATGAATTCATAATTTGCGAATAACTCAAAAAGTACACAATTTTGAGTTCGTTGCACACATGAGTATTTGAAAGCTTACTGAATTCCCTACAAAATGTTAAAAAAATAATCGAAATCGGACGATTTGGCATAGAGTTATAACGTTCTGAACACTTAGTGTTTATTTTACCGTAAACATTCTGTTCCATATGGAATTGGGAATTTTAGATTATAAAACTAAGTTTTTTTTATTTTATTTAATATAGATATTATTCTCATTGATGTTCTCTAACAGAGCTTAAATGCCTATATTTCAAAATTTCTCCACCTAAAGTACCTTTAATTTTTTTATATGAAGTCTAAGATAAACCATGTCACATTGCAATCTATTAAAAAAAAAAAAAAAAGATTAAATATGAAAGAATTTTATAATTAACTTATCGAAGGAAGCTAGTCGACTGTTCTACATATCATGGGTGATAAATATTCAGGACGCAGTCATTATAAAAATTTTTATTTGTGCCAACGTCATGTTAACCCATCCATCATGTTGACCTGTTGGTGATGTCCTATATGTTTGGGTTGAAATGGTACAAATACAAATTTTTATAATGACTGCTTCCTGCATATTTATCACCCATTATTAACTTAGGGATCAAAATTGAACACCGAAGAAACCCGAGCTTGGACGAAAGGTTAGAATAAACTTCCATACATAACACATGCTTAATAAAATAGGGCTCTGATAATATTATATCCATATACATGTGCAGTTTTCATAAATGCTAGTGTTGGTATTATTTAAGGTACTTTTTGTCTGGCGGGCCAGACTGAAACCTCAATTCTTATCCTATCTTATCTAACGTCACGTCACATAACCTCCCTCTTCTTATCCTGCCAAACCTTTGAGTTATTGCATTGTTTAGTTTTCAGTTATTCTCTTATTACGTTCACTTATTAAATTCTTTACTTTTGGCCCGTTTGTGTTTAATTTTCTTTATTTTTATTTTTTGGTCCGTTTGTGTTTATTTTCATTTTTTTCCGTTTATTTTCGTCATATTATGGATCTTCTTAAAATATGGGATTTGCCGCCTTCAGAAGAACAGGCAATTCAATATTTTCAAAATGTTGGGGTACTTGCCAACGTGAAATTGTGTGAACGAGGTCATCGAATGAAGTTAACCAGGAAGGCCAAATGGAGATGCTTTTGTAGGACTTATGACACAAAACTTTCAATTAGGAAAGGAACATGGTTGGATGGCTCGAGGATTTCGGTTTTAACAGCTTTAAAATTGATTTATGGGTGGTCCCATAGCTTAACAACGATGAAGTGGGGCAAAGAGCAGCTGAAACTATCCTACGGAGCTATGGTAACGTGGAACAAATTTCTAAGAGAGGTTTGTGCCTATGGCATGTTATACAGGCCAAGAAAAAAAATTGGAGGACCTGGCAAAGTGGTTGAAGTAGACCAAAGTCTTTTTTCTAAACAAAAAAATCATGTGGGGAGAGTTTTACCTCAGCAGTGGATGTTTGGTGGAGTTTGCCGAGAAACAGATGAATGTTTTATCTTTTTATAAAACAGATTTTATGTTTTGTATTTTTTCTTTTCTATGTAAATATGTTCTTTTAAATTTTTTTTTATTATTATTTCATTTTGATGTTTTATATGTACATATCTTCTTAAAGTGTTTTTTTATTATTTCATTAATATATGTATCATCAAATAAAAGTATTTTTTTTGTTATTACATTTGTTTTTGTTTCTGTTTACACTTTCAATAATACGAATTTAATACAATAATACGAAGATATGAAGTAGGAGAAGGCTTATCACTGCGTTATGGGAGTTATCAGTGCTCAGGTTATAAACATTGGCAGATAGCAGTCAGTAGCGGCCCCCTAGACAAAAAGTACCTTATTTAATATTTAATTGTATAGATTACAGTTAATTAAAATTACAATATGTATAGAAACCAATACTTAAACAAATTCAAATATCTACAATGATATAATGTCATTATCATAAATATAATTATCAATAAATATGATGTCCTTCTACATCAGTGACAATCTTGTCCTACAAAATATTTTGTGGCACAAAATTACCCAACTAAGCAAAGCGAAATGAGCTTTTAATGCTTCTTTTTTATGAAGTGGCTGGATCGATTTGGAGGTTTGACGGCTCAAATTATTTGGTGAGATCCACTCAGTGTTTTGAAACAATTTGAGCTATAAATACTGACCCATTATTTAATAAAATATGAATATTCAATTTGAAAAAGCTTTGTAACGCTGTTTTGAGCAAGCGGCTGGATGGATTTTTAAGTTTGATTAGTTAAATTATTCGGTGAGGTCCCCTGAGTGTTTTGAAACAATTTGAGCTAAAGATTCTGGCAAATTACTGAGTAAAGGGTATTTAATCAATCCACTAAAAGTTGCATGATGAGTTGCTGAGCTGATGGCGCGTCGAATTATTAGCTTTTATATGACTGTAATATTTCAATAAGATCACGTGAATATTTTGAAACAATTTGAGCTCAACATTTTTTATTATAGTTTAAGTTTCTCGATTATTAATTGATTTGAAATGATATCATATGATCATCTGTTATGAAAATAAATTGTTAATATTTTAAAAAATTAAAATATTGTCTAACCAATGATATTCGCATGGTCCTTAGTGGCCGATACGTGATAAAAAGAAACAACTAAAAATGTTAAAATAAACAAATATTTGAATTAAAAAAAAAAAAAAAAAACTGACTACAGAAATTGGGGAACTTTAGCCACCCTAAGGGGATGTACTTCCATATCTACTTAGACATCTTGGTAGATTGACATCTATGAATGTTTATACTTGGTGTAGTCGTTTGCCTAACACATCCCCAACGAAACTCAAAACTTCTGGATATTGAAATGCACTAACACGTGGAACAAAATCTATTTGCAAGGAGCTGTAATGAGTAGTTATAGGTATCTGACTACTATAGCAAGTTTGAAAATGTGTTAGGTGTGTTTTGTACTTTTTTTGTGGAGAGTGAATTAGATTGAGCCATCAGATCTCCAATGTGTAACACTCGGGCAAAGTCGGCTGGAGTCGACTAATTGAAGTATTTTTTCATATGGATTAAAATATCTCAAAAACTAAAAATCAGACCTGCATATTATTAGCGAGAAGAATGTTCATCATTCCATTGTCTTTGTAATGAACTATTATTCAAAATTGTATCTTAACACGATGCCATCTTAGAAAGGTGAAAAGGGTAAAAAATAGTGTCAAAAACCTAATGATAATGAGTTTTATAGAAGATATGGATTAAAATATCGTAAAAACTAAATATCGGACCTGCATACTGTAAGCGAGGAAAATATTCAGCAATTTGTTCTTTTTATAATGAGCTATTATTTATAATTTATGTATAATATTATTAATCTCGTCTTGTTGATATTTTCACTTCTATTAGTGGTCTAAAGCACACATCTTAGTTTTTTTATTTCCTTATTCTGAAGGTAGGTGGGCAGGGAATTTTATTTATTGTAAGAAAAAATCTGGGATTCGCAACTAACAAGACTCCTGTTGACACCCTGTTAGTATGAAATATTTTCAAAAAGAATTTTTTTTTCTGTATTTATTCTGCCCTATTCAAGCCTAAGATGGATTCATTAATTTAATTTTCCGTGTTAAAAATATTGTTTCTATTTCTACAGATGGGCTTGTTCAGGTGAAACAAGAAAGAGAGACGGTAATTGCCTATGATGAAGTTCCTTCAATTGATATCAAAGAAGAGGAGGGACAGCACATTTATTGTGGTGAGAAAAATATTGAATTTATATTAAATATGTTACAACTTATTTATTTTTATATCTGCACCTTACGTTATTTAAGCCCAGAAGGGAGTCCTTAATTTTTGTGAATTGATTAATTTAATACTGTTATATTGTTAAAAATATTGTTTATATATCTGCAGATGGACTTGTTCACGTGAAAAATGAAACAGAGATGCTTATCCAAGATGAAGGTGAGAAAAAACATTGTACTTACCGTTCTATGTGTTGTTTCTACTTGTTCATTAAATCTTCCTGCTAACCGCTATACTTTAGGATTTATTTTTGTTATTTTATTATTTTTATTTCTAAGCACTTAGAAAACAATTATAAAATAATTGTTGCTACGAAACAAAACTTTATACTTCCTGTCCTATTTGCAGTACGTCTTCCAGAGACTTTTTTGAACTTGAAAAAATCAGGGAATAGTGCAGGAATTTTATGAAAAAAAACAGTGAAATTCTGCAAATTTTATAAGCTCTGGGATATGAGCATGAATTTGCTGACATAATTTAGAATCACTCATTATTTAAAGAAGTGGGGTGGTTCAGTGAGTTTGGCACTGTGCTCAGATTCTTATGAACCCAGGATTGGGACCGTCTGTGGCAGATAATTATTCATTTTGTTTCATTAGCTGTGGTTCAACCCTGAGAATGAAATACCCTCCTGGGGCACACCCATTCTCTATAAAGTAAGTGTTCTTAATTAAATAATTAATTAAGGGATTAAACCTGGTGGCTGAGTGTGATCTTGGTTCATTCGCCTCTTTGCACAACCATTGTCCATGAAACAGTACTTCCTTACAAAACACTGAACTCAAGATTGTAAATAACCTTCCGTTTTGTTGGGGGTCTTGGTTATTTACACTCGTGAGTTTTAATTTTTAAAACAAAATTCTTGCGTGGGCTCATTACCGCGTATAGGGAGCTTCTCAGGAGTTGCGGATGTGGAGATGGTCGGTGGATATTGGAAGTTCCTTCTGGCCAAGTCCAATGGAATCGATGACCAACAATGAGAGGGGTCCTCCAGACTTGCTGGAGGGTGTGACGTAGGATAGAACGCCCTACTCATATATCTTTACTCCGGGTGGGGACTGCTTTAGGGAATTCATGGCACAAGTTGAAAAATAGGTATTTTAAGAATTGGTACGTGGAACGTAAGGAGTTCAAATTCACCAGGGGGGTTAAAATCGGTCGCGGATGAGGTTAATGGATACAATTTGGATATTGTAGCTCTGCAAGAGGTTCGCTGGCCAGGGTAGGGCTCGATAAGGGAAGGAAGGTACACTATTTGGTATGGAGGAAGCAGGAATCATTGTTTAGGTACCGGGTTTCTAATTAGGAATAGATTGCTATCCACTTTGAGGGACGTATATTCGGTAGCTATATTTCAGGGATGTTGTTTTAAAATCACTTAATAAACATACATTGTCCAACCAAAGACAGTGACGATGAAGTCAAATGCGAATTTTACGATACACTCGAATGGGTTTATGATAAACTACTGCGAAGCAACATGAAAATAATTGTAGGTGATGCAAACGCAAAGGTGGGTAGAGAAGAAGTTTATGTTCCAACAATTGGTAAAGAAAGTTTGCACGAATATAGTAATGATAATGAGATCCATATGATAAACTTTGCCATCTTGAAAAATCTAATAATTAAAAGTACTATGTTTAAACATAAGGATATTCGTAAATATACTTGGACATTACCGGATTCGCAAACACAAAGTCAAATTGATCATGTCTTGATACAACATAGCTGTTTATCGGAAAATTAAAATCTTATAAAGCAGTGGGAATCGATAATATTCCTAGTGATCTAGTTAAGGCATGATGGGAAGATGGAGTTTCTAAAAGAAATACATTGGTTACAAAGATCTGGGAGAAGGAGAAATTATTGAAGAATAGAAAGAATCTATTCTTATTCCGTTTTACAAAAAGGGTCTGAGGACAGATTGTAATAACTATCAAGAAATCTCACTCCTTCCGGTATGTTATAAGATATTAACTTTAATCTTAATTAGTCGAATCATGGAAAACGCCAAGGAAATTATCGGAGACTACCAATGCGGATTTAGAAGAAACTGTTCGACTATTGATCAGATATTTTCTTTACAGCAAATATTGGAGAAAGAATTAGAGTCCAATAGTGTTGTTCACCGGCTGTATATCGATTTCAAAAAGGCTTACAATTCTATTGATCATCAGAAACTCTATAATATTCTAATAATAGCATTATTAGATATAATAATAGCCGGGGATCCCAACAAAATTAGTAAATCTAGTCAGGATGTGCTTGACAGAAACTCTCAATAAAGTTAGAATCGATATTAATTTATCCGAAAATTTTGAGGTTTGTTCCGGTTTAAAACAGGGTGATTCCCTTTTGTATGTCCTGTTCAATTTGGCATTAGAGCATGCCATTACGGAGGTAATGCGAACCGAAAAAGGTTGGATCTGAGTTGGACAAAACCTGTGCTTGGCTATATGGTTGATCTGTACAAGTTAAGTGAAGACACAGAAACTATAAGACTAAATTCGACAACTTTAATGAAAGCTGGTAAAGAAATAGGATAAGACAAAATATACGGTTAGCTGCAAAAACGGCGATATTGGTGGTGATATCAATATAGAAGGTAATATGTTAGAACAGGTAAAGAAGTTTAGGTATCTAGGGTCTACGATAACTAGAAAAAAACAAAATTGAAGAAGAGATTAAGGTTAGACTGAAGGGGGCAATGCTTGTTATTTTTCTGTGACAAAACTGCTAAGCTCGTGCCTCTTGCCCAGGAACTTAAAAACTATAATCTACAAAACCATTATCTTACCTACCGTTCTTTATGGATGCCAAACGTGGCCGCTTACATTAAGGGATGAGCAACGTTTTAAGGTTTTTGAAAATAAAGTATTACATAGAATATTCGGACCGAAGAAGGATGAGTTAACCGAAGTGTTCAGACTGTTATACAACGCCGAATTGCTTGAACTGTATCCTGTTGATATAATTGAGGTAATTACTTCAATGGCTTGTCAATTAGCGAATGGTCAAAATGGCGCATCAAATGGGCTTGTAAATTGTTTGGGCTTTGTAATGAAAGAATTCCTAAAAGGTTAATATTTGCTATACCGAATGGTAAACGTCCGAGGGATAGACCGAAGCAAAGGTGGCAAGATTGTGTTAAAGCGGATCTGAATTGACTGGGTTTGGACGGCGAACAGTGGAAGGAGGTGTGTAATAAGCGATTGGTTTAACTTTTTTTTTCCGTTGGCTTAATGCACTGCGACCCTAATGGATCTATTGTGTGCCATTATGCAGTCCGTTTTTAAAACGTTAGTTTGATCGCTCCCGCCTATCATAATATGCCTGTTGGGTTGATAGTCTCATAGCTACCGAGGTGATCCATCCGTCCTTCCTTAAATAGCTCCAGTCTAAGCCTTGAAAATCTATCACATCGACAAACGATGTGAACGGCTGTTTCATTCTCCTCCTGACAGAATCTGTATAGCGGGTTGGTCGTCACTTGGAGATTGAACATGTGATAATTTAACTTATAGTGGCCAGTGTAGATTACTGTAAGCTATATTATAACTTTAGTTGTACCCATACAGGTTTCTCTTTTTTGTTTGTTTATTTTTTTTATTAGTATCATTATTGACCTCAAAAAGTTAACATCATAGTAATATTGAATGAAGTTTATCGACTGTTCTTCATATCATGTGTGATAAATGTTCAAGACAGTCATTATAACTTTCTATTTCTTTACCGCAATACTCGTTCCTGGTCTTCTGATTTATACATAAGGTCCCATCGAACTGCTGCTTTTGACAGATCTTTCATTATCCAATCCTCATCCCTATGGAACTCCATCCCTCCCGACATCCATATCCCTCCCTTCCTACCTTTAAAACCCGCCTGTTCAATCATTTCTTATCCGTCCAGTCCCCATGAAATTGTAAATAGTCACTACTGCAAATATGTATATAAATTATCAGATCGTTCTTCATTATTTATACTTCTCATGTTTATTTTCAATTTTTCATTTTTTTTATTATTAACTGATTTAAATTAAAAAGTAACTTATAATTTCTTTTATTTTGACTATTCACTTACTCTATATTTTTGTTTATGTATCTCTGAGGCTCCTTAGCCCACATTTTTGTCTTTCTGTATTATTCTAAAGGAACTCGTCCCAGAATAAATAAAGCATTATTATTATAAAGTTTTTATTGGTGCCGATGTTTCAACCCAAACATGTGGGTCATCAATAGGGTTTGTTTCGAGCACTGAAGGTATTCAAGTACTCTGAATACCTTCAGTGCTCGAAACATGCCCTGATGATAACCCACATGTTTGGGTTGAAATGTCGGCACCAATAAAAACCTTATAATGACTTCATCCTGCATATTTATCACCCATCATAGTAATATATTAGTATCGGTGTCCATGCTACTAGCTAAATCAAAAGGAGTGTCCCAAGGCGGTTCCTTGTCATCTTTGCTCTTCAACCTGGCCATTGACCATCTCTACCGCAACCTGTGTGACGAAGAATTTTCCAAAAGATTTGGATATAAACTAAAAAGTGGCCAAGGTTTTGTGGTCTTCACAGGTTTTGCAGTTTTGTGGCCCTCACATTTTTTTATTACTATACGAAGCTCATTTTATTTTTAGTGTAAAACAAATTTGAGTTTGATTATCATCTACTTATAACTGAATGTTTTGTTTAATATATTCTAAAATATAAATTTAGTTTTCTTTCTTGCTCGTGGCCATGCAAGTAGATTTCTTGGTAAATGGTATAACCTTATAACCATGTAGTACATGCTTTATCATTTATGAAATTGCTAAAATAAACCGAAATATCCTGATTTGATATAATTATCATTGTGTTATGAACTTATAAGTACTTATTGAAAATTGAATTGAAATTGAAATACTTGAGAAACAAAAATTTAAAAAGTTATTAATAGTTTTATTTTATTTTTTGAGTATGATGGTGTATTGCTTACAGGTGCCAAGGACAGTTGTCATAAAGATAAGGAATCTTATCAATGTCATCATTGTGACTTTAAATGTCCTACACCTCATCGGTTGAAAAGACATATAATAGTTGTTCACACTGGTGAGAAGGCTCATCACTGTTCTCTGTGTGATCATAAATGTGTTAAACTCCAAGATTTGAAAATACATAT